TGAGCCTGCCCGGATCCGCTCCCAGAGCACGCTCACAGTGGGGTTGCCCCCAGGCTGTGGGAAGCGCTACCCAGATGCCGCCTCAGCTCCCGCCCACCCTCCTGCCGGTGCCAGAGTGACAGCCTACCTCCACGCTCACTCTCAAGCTCTGAGAGGACTCACTCTCCCACTTTTTCTCAGCTGAGAATCCCAAATTAAGCCTCCATTTGGACTTTATCCTGGAAAATGCACCTAGTTGCAATCAACTGATAAAGAGCTCAGGAGAGTGGGCACAGATCTTGTGGTGTTTAAAAGGCTGTCATACAATGTTAGCATTTGATGGCAGCTCTGAGGTCATCCACTCCAACCCTTTCCCTTTGTAAAGAAAGCAAAGACAAACAGGCCTGGAAAGTTCCATGGCTGCCCAGCGCCCCTGGCGCAGCTCAGGCAGCTGCCCCCTATCTCCGTCGCAGCCCTGCTGTGGGCCAAGCCGCCGAGGCCCAGTATGCTGCAGCCTTGCTCCCGCGACACTAACTGCCTCCCGTCGTGTCTTTCAGTTGGTCTCCGACGTTCTGCTTTCTTTCCTGCCTCCTGGCCTTAGCATCTTGGAAGCGTCAGGGGTGGAGTTCTGTTTCTTGTGCACAGCTCCGCCCCTGCAACCTGGCCCCAAGCAGCCACTGTAGGCCTTGCTCCTGGTGACCTAAGCCCATGGCATTCCCGAGGTCTACACTGAGCCCTTGGCACAAAGAAGAGCAAAGCTGGCGGCCTCTGGAACCCGGCCGCCAAGGTGAGTGGACCAGCTGGGGTCCCGGTCCTTCAGGAGCAGCGTGCTAACGCCAGGTGATGCTGTCTCACTCTTCACGTGGCCTGGGCGCTGCAGCGCCTGTTTTGGAAAGGCTCAAGAGTCTGCTGCAGAAATCCTCTTTAAAGTTCCAGAAAGCAGAGATGTCACCTTGAAGACTCAGGTGCGCCTGACCCGAGGTGTTACATTTGCAGTCACCTCGTACGCGTGTGAAAGTTGGGCAGTGAGAAAGGAAGACAGAAGAAGAATCGCTGCCTCCAACTGTAGTGTTGGCAGAGCATACTGAATATGCCATGAGCTGCCAGAAGAACCAGCAAGTCTGTCTCAGAGCAAAGGAAACCAGAATGCTCCTTGGAAGCAAGGATGGCGAGACTTCATCTTGCTTACTTCGGACACGTCTTCATGAAAGACGGATCGCTAGAAAAAGACATCGCGTTCGGTAGAGAGGAAGATCAGGGAGAAGGAGGCAAACCCTTAGTGAGATGGTTTGACACGATAGTGACAGCAGTAAGCTCAGACGTTTCAGAGACCGTGGAGATGGTGCAGGACCAGGCAGCGTTTCATTCTGTTAGGGTTTAGGTGACCGTGAGGTAGAGCTGACCGGGCGGCAGCTGACGGCAGCAGCAATGACAGAGGTCTCATTGTCACCCACATCTAGTACATTACAGAAGGCACCCCAGCCAGGGCCTCATAGAATTGCCGGAGACGTTTTTGATGGTTCTCCTTACCTCGGGGTCTTGATGGGGAGCGAAAGAGCACAATATGCTTCACAGGGGGCATGGTCCCAACAGCACTGGCTCTGGCTCAGAATTGCCCTCGTGGACCCGCTGTCCCAAAGACCCTGCCCGCCTGCTTCACGCCATCCCCTCTCCCCAGCTTACACTCACTTCCTTCTAGCTCCTGAAATGAAAACTTTTAAATGCCAGGAATCTTTATTGAGCTTAATTGCAATAATTGACTCAGCTTCTGTCTCGACAAAGAGTGAATACCCGTCCGTGCGGCTGGGTGACCACCTGGCACAGCTGGGCACTTACCACGCACACAGGAGCCGTTGGTCGCCTGTGCTCTGAAGGGTTTTGATTATCTCCCGATTACCTCTTAATTCTGCTGGCAGGTGGGGTGTGTGTGCGCGGAGGGGCCCGGTCAGGGAAATGAAACGCAGGTCATGGGGCTGAGTAATGGGAGATGGTCTGTAAGTCCTTCTGTCTGCCCTAGACATGGACTTTTTCCTGGATTTTTGCATCGTCCGTTTGTTGTGGTCCCACTGAGACACAAGGGCATGCCTCTTTACACCCCACCATGACGCTTCATTCGTTTAAACAGAAATAGAGTGGACTCCGTGGGGCTTTCTAGGCCGTAAGCCTTTATGAGAGCAGATCACCACGTCCTTTTCCCCCAGATCCGTTAGGCATATCCAAACTGCCAGCCTTTCAGTTAACAGCTGAGTGTTTAACCATTGCACCCAAACCCAAACCCGCTGCCATCGAGTCGATTCCAACTCATAGCGACCCTATAGGACAGAGTAGAACTGCCCTGTAGGGTTTCCAAGGCTGTAATCTTTATGGAAGCAGACTGCCACAGCTTTCTCCCATGGAGCAGCTGGTGGTTTCAAACTGACAACCTTTCGGTTAGCAGCAGAGCGCTTAACCCCTGCACCACCAGGGCTCCTAATTGGCTGACCAGCAATAAGTAAATATGACTTCTCTCCATTCCGTTCCTCCTGTCTGCCGTAATCACTTCCCGACCAGACTGTTTAACGTACCACACTTGTTACTGCAGAGTGACGGGGTGGCCTGTTAAAATAACAGCAGCTGGTATTGACTCCGCAGCTGGGCCGTTCTCTGTGAAGGCCTCGAGCAGTCGTTAAGGTAGGTGTTGATCAACACGATACGAATAATGAAACTGAGGCTCAAGAAATTATAAGTGGACGCTCTCCGTACTAATTTTACAACCTTTCTATAAGTCTAAAAGTAGTTCAGGATAAAAAGTTTATTAAAAAGAAAAAAATGACCCAAAGTTATACATCTACGGAAAGATATGGAGGCGCTCTCTGAACCTCGACTTGTCTGCCTGCAAAGGCTCATGTCCCGTTTGTACTTTCAGGCCACGTAGAAGCTACCTGGAAGAGATAAGACGCTTGCCAGAGACACTTATGTAAGAGCAGCTCAAATACTCAGGGCTCTAACTCACTATTCCCCAGAATTATGTAAGAGTATGTTTTATGAAGCAGCATAAAATCATCCTGCAGCAGGTTTTTATGCCTCAGCCAGAGAATTATTTAAAAACGGAATCTGTCGGGCAGGCATGCATCTGGAATAAGGACATGGCGTGTCTGCAGGGTAGTGGGTGTAGAGCTGTGTGCTCTAGGCCTGGACATTCTACTTTAGCAAGGTGAGCACGTTGTGGAAAAGATATGTGCAGTATTTAAAGGTGGGTTTTAAGATGACAGACGGATGAAATGGCTGAGCCAGGCCCTGCTGCCGTCCGAAATCAGTGGTGAAAATGACCAGTGTCACTTACCGGAGAGGCCGCTGCCTGTCTCGTACTCAAGGGGATGGACTCGGCGGTGTGCTGCAGCACGATGCATCAGTGTATATGGCCTTTCTCGCCAGGGTCTTTAACTCCTACCAGATGAATGGGTGGGACTATGCAAATAAGGTGCCTGTGGCCCACCAAGGGAATTAGATAGCTTACTAATAATGCAGATAAGGTGTGTGGTACCCTTGTGGGGTGAGACCATGCAGATAAGGTACGTGGAACCCTAACAAAGGGACTGGTCGGTTTTGCCATCCTGCTAGGCTTGAAATGACCCATCCCAGAGGCAGAAAATGGGGACCTCACTACCCCCAAGAAAGAAGACCTAGGAGTGGAGCGCATCCTTTGGACCTGGGATCCCTGCACTGAGAAGCTCCTAGACCCAGGAGACAGAGAGAGAGAGCTGTAACATTGGAGACGGTAAGAGACGGTGAGAAGCAGCGGCAGAGAAATGGCAGCTGCAGAGGCAGCAGAATCAGACCAGCAGGAGACAGCGCAGTGGGCTTCCCTGCCAATGGAGCGAGAAAGCTGAGTGCCTTCAGGCAGGAGGCTTACTGGTGGAGTGGGGTGCCTCCAGGCACTTGGCAGTGCTAGGCTCGTCAACCCATGGAAGGAGAGAGCTGAGCACCTTCAGGCCAAAGCTTACTGGTGGAGTTGGGTGCCCCTGGACACTTATCAGTGGAGCTAAAGAGCTTTGTACCACTTGCCCGAGCAGGGCAGAGGCCGGGCTGGCCAAGAGGCCTGAGTGGCCGAGAGTCTAGAGAGGCCTGCCTCTGGGCACAGCCAAGAAGCTGCTCTGACCAAAGAACCGTATCCTGAGTCCTTCCTGATCCAGAACTGTAACCTGTTACTTCTCCAATACGCGCTGTAACTGCGAGTGTGGCCTGTGAGTTCTATGTGGCCACTGCAACAAATTCTCGAAGCCAGCAGAGCAGAGTGCCGTGGGAGGTGCTGGTGTCAGAACTGGTAAAAAGGTTGGCCAGAGGAAGTACGTCCGACCTCCCCTCATAGGACTCAGCCTTGGGTTGATGCTGCTGCTGGTGATCTCCCCGTTCGTGAAGTTAGCCGAGGTCTGACGCTGCCGCCTGCACACACCTGTTCTTCCCAGGGCCACAGACCCAGACCCCTTGGAGGCGACAAGGTGCCAGGACCCCAGAGCACGGCGGAGTCCTGATGAGAGACCCTGGCCGGGTTCAGGTGTTCTAGTGTGCGTTCCTCTTTGGGGACGCTGCCCATTTGAGCCACTGCCTCGCACTGCCACAACTCGTCAGTGTGAAAAGCCGGCTGTCACATTAAATATGCCCACGTTCGAGTCAGAAAATATCTTGGCTCTTTTAAAGTGCGTTAGAAGCTAGGAGTATTCCTTTATTTTTCCCAGGAATTTTTCTTGTTTTAAAGGGAAAAAGTCTAAGCAGACAAAATGGTTACGGTGTGCCGCGAACGCCAACGTTAGGTCATTGCCGTGCTCTCTCCCAGCCTCTCCCTGCGCTCTCGTCACCTAAATCAGCCCTGGACAGTGTTGTGGAGCATCTTACTCTCGGGTTCCTCCCTCCCCCTTGCCCTCCGCCCAGTACTGTGGCCACCCCCGGACCCTCGGCTGCTGCAGGGAGAGGGCACGTCTCCTTTGTGAGGCCCCTGAAAAGCTGGGAGTATTGATCACATTTCCTCTCTGTTCTCTTCCCAGGCAAGCTTGGGACCTTGCTGTGGACATTTGTCTCTCTCAGCTGCCAACGATCATCGAGGAGGGCACTGCGTTTCGGGTAAGTCCCCCGGGGTGTCCTGAGCACTCGCTCTCTGGGCACCTGGGTCCGCAGAGCCGCCATCTGGGTGTGATCCAGGGTTCTGGCCGCAGCATACACAGTTAACCAGAAGCTTAAAAGATTGGAATTACCAGGGCCTGAGGTTGGGAGTCCCTGGGTGGACAGACAGTTAAGTGCTCGACTACAGACCCAAAGGCTGGAGGTTCAAGTCCACCCAGAGGCACCTCAGAAGAAAGGCCTGATGATCTACTTCCACAAAACCAGCCTTTGAAAGCCCTATGGAGCACAGTTCTACTCAGACACACATGGCGTTGCCGTGAGTCGGAAGTAGGTTTTAGTTTTGGTTTTTTGAGGTTAGGTGTTGAAATAATGTGCTTTGTAAAAATACCTTGTCTGTAAACGTTGCTATCATGAATCTGTTTCTCGTAACACAGACCTCCTTCCTGCTCCCCAAGGGTGGTGGCCAGTGTTTCACATTCTGGCCTCTCTGCCTGTGAACCAGTGAACCGTGGATTCCCCACGACCATGACTCTAGCCTTGTCACACGGTGGCCCAGGACGGGAGACCCTGCAGTGACACCAAGCCCCAGAAGGGGCGCACCCGGGCCACATGTCTCAGGCAGCCGTGAGTCGAGTCGCCCCTGTGTAGACTGGGTCTCGTGTGAGTCTGGCACCTGCGGGTGAATTCTGCTCCACCTGGGGGCCTTCACGGCCTCCCACGAGAGTACCTTCCTGATCTGTCTGCCTGCACGGAGTCTTTCCTTCTTCTGACTTCACATCCTCGTGCGTTCTAGATTCGCTTCCTGAGTATTTGCTCCTGAGGGTACACGAGTGAGAACCGCTAGGGAGGAGAGAGGTCGCACGTGAGGCCAGAGCCCTGTGATGTGGGCACGGGTGGCCTGCGCCAGGGTGGGGAGGGACACGGGGGAGGGCCCAGGAGGCCTTCGGTTTTCAGGGAGGAGTGGGGTCACCAGGAGCAGGGGGCATTCTTGGAAGCAGAAGCAGCGTGAGCAGAGGGTCAGAGGGGATGGCTTCGAGCATGAGGGACGGGGGGAGGCCTTGCAGGCGGGCAGCAGCCTGGGCTCCAGGGCAGCGTCTCCTGGCCTTTCTCCCCACACCTTCACCCCCAGCCCCACTGGGAGACAGTAGTGTCATGGCAGAAAACACGGCTTCAGAGCCACGCTGGCGCTTACTAGCTATGCGCGCTTTGCCACATAGCTGTCCGCCTGTCCGTCTTTGTCTTGTCTTTTTTTTTTTTTTCTGACACATTTACATGTAAATTGCACACTGCCCTGAATGTTTAAACCCTACCTCTGGAAGCTGGCCTGTCCCACCTGCGGCATTGGCATCAACCGTGAGGCCTCCAGGTGGAAGGCCTCCCCCCTCTGCTGGACTGGGAGCTCCCTGAGGGCAGGCACACAGTCTTGTCCACGACCCTCAAACCTAGCAGGGAGCAGCACCCAGCAGGCCGCCTGGTGTGCTGACCGCTCTCCTCCCCCGTCCCCACCCTCCCTCAGCTGAGCTCGGCCGTCAGCCTCTCAGAACTGTGGCTGGTTTGGACCCTGTGTGGTTCTGCTTTGCCCTGTGAAGAGCTCAGAACTGCATACTCTCCTAAAGTAATGGGTTCTGTGTGTGTGTGTCTGCGTGTGTGTGTGCGTGCACGTGTGTGTGGATGTCTGTGTGTGCGTGTGCCTTGTGCATGCATATGCACATGTGCACCTGCATGTGTGTGCCTTTGTGCATATGTGTGTGTGCATGTGTACCTGTGTGTGTGCATGTGTGTGTGTGCACGTGTGTGTGTGCGTGTACCTGGGTGTGTGCGTGTGTGCCTGTGTGTGCATATGTACCTGTGTATGAACGTGTGCGCGCGCATGTACCTGTGTGTGCACGTGTGTGCGCGTGTGTACCTGTGTGTGCATGTGTGTGCGTGTACCTGTGTGTGCGCACGTGTGTGTACCAGTGTGTGTGTGCGTGTGTACCTGTGTGTGTGCGTGTGTACCTGTGTGTGTGCGTGCCAGTGTGTGTACCAGTGTGTGTGCACGTGTGTGCGCGTGTGTGTGCACGTGTGTACCTGTGTGTGTGCACGTGTGCGTGTGTATACCTGTGTGGGTGCACGTGTGCGTGTGTACCAGTGTGTGTGCACGTGTGTGCGCGTGTGTGTGCACGTGTGTACCTGTGTGTGTGCACGTGTGCGTGTGTACCAGTGTGTGTGCGTGTGTGTGCGCGTGTGTACCTGTGTGTGTGCACGTGTGCGTGTGTACCAGTGTGTGTGCGTGTGTGTGTGTGCGTGTGTACCTGTGTGTGTGCACTCACACGTGCACTTTTCAAAGTGGATACTTTTGCCTCGGTGCCAGGTTTCCTTGCCAAATGTCTTTTAAGTATCTTAATATTTCATTTCTATGATCAATATTCTGCATCTGGAATAATTTCACCAAGCTGGGGTGGTGGGAGTGAGAAGGGGGCAACAAGCTAGCTTTTAGGTTCTGTTTTTACTTTTTCGGAAGCATAATATACATTTAGGAAATTATACATATCATCAGTGTGCAGCTGGGTGGGTTTTTACAAGTCGAGCATACTCAGGTAATCAGCCCCCAAATCAAGCAGCAGAGCTTGAGCAGCACCCGAGAGCCCCTCCCCTTCCACCCCCTCCCAGCCCCGCTTTCCGCAGGGACAGCTGCCTGCCTGCCTGCTGGTGTCTACAGGGAGACAGAACATACGGTCCATGGTCTCCGTGCCCGACCTCGTCTCACTCAGCCTTGTGTTTGCTGTGTGTCGGCGTGCCTCGTTCTCCTCGTAGCACCGCTGTGTGGACAAACGCTCCAAAACTCACTCCTCCGCTCTGCGGCTGATGGGCGGTGTGAGTGTCTGGTTTGCAGCTGTCCCAAAGCGGGCTGCCCGTGCCATGCCCAGTCACATTGGAGGCAAAGGATAACTCAGTAACCCTGATCCCGTCTTTATTTAAAACTTTGATATTTTGTTCCTTATGGATTTTTGCATTTGTTTGAATTTTCTTAATATTTCATTAGAATATTATTTATCTTGATTACTGAGTTCTTTGCCCCACCCCCCCACCCACACCTTAAATTTTGTGCCCAAGGCAAGTGTCTCACCACCTCACCATGGTCTTGCTCCAAGTGCTGCTAGGTCTTGTACGAGTCCTTTGGTGAACACAGGTATCCAAAAACGCTGTTAGGTGTGTGCATTAGGAGTGGAATATCTGGGTCACACGCATGCATGTATTCTGTTTTAGTGAATATTGCTGAACACTTTTCCAGAGTGGCTCTAGGTTCTCTGTCATTTGGACACTTAGTCCTTCCACGAATACCACAGTCTTAGTTATGAAACCTTTAGAAGAGGTCTTCTAAAGCTGGTAGTCTAAGTCTTCTAACTTTGTTCTTTTTCAAAATTGCCTTGATTATTTGGCTGTTTGCATTTCTATATGAATTTTAGATTCAGCTTGCCAATTTCTGCAAAGAACCTGCTGGGATTTTGATTAAGATTGCAGTCAATCTATGGCTTGATTTGGGGGAAGTTGACGTCCTTCCAATCCATGAACATAGTATACCATATTTTTACACAAATAACACATGCCTTCTATGTTTGTTTGCCAACCACTCCCTCCTCCCACAAGATATTTTTGTAAACATTGCTATGCCAATTTTTTTTTACACGTTGCTGTAAAAAATTTAGCATAGCATGCTTATGAAAAATATCTTGTGGGGGGAGGGAGTGGTTGGCAAACAAACATAGAAGGTGTGTGTTATTTAGGTAAAAATATGGTGTCAATGGCATCTTTTAAAATTTCATTTCCTAATTTCTCTTTATTTGTGTATGTGTTGTTTACAAGTGATTTTGTATAGCAACTTTACTAAATGCGTTTCTTTATTCTAATAGTTCACCCATAAATGCTGGCTTCATCTTTTTTTTTAATGATATTTCACTGTGTTTCCAGTGAAGGTCACACAGCAGTTTAGGTTCCCATTCAACAATTTCTGTGCATATTGTTCAGTGACATTGGTTACCTTCTTCACAATGTGTAAACATTCTCCTTATTTCCATTCTGGTTGTTCTGTTTCCATTAATCTACTTTCCCTGCACCCTTACCTTCTTATCTTTGTTTTAAAGTAACTGTTGACTGTTTGGTCTCATGTAGATGATTTTTTAAAGGAGCACAGTACTCATGGGTGATATTCTGTATTTTGTGAGCCAGTCTGTACTTTAGCTACAAGGTGTCCTCAGGGACTTGTTTCATTTCAAAGTTTAGAGAGTATCGCAGGGCAATAATCTCAGGGAGTCCTCCAGTCTCAACCAGTCTAGGAAGTCTAGATTTTTTTAAGAATTTAAGATTCTGTTCCACATTTTTCTCCCATGCTATCAGGATCCATCTATTGTGGTCCTGATGAGAACAGTCGGTAGTGGTAGCTGGGCACCATATGGTTCTGGTCTCGGGGTAGATGAGGCCATAATTCATGTAGACTGTTAGTCCTGTAGACTAGTTTCTTCTTAGAGTTGGTTTCCTTCTTTCTTTTTTGTTCTGGATGAATAGAGACCAATAGATGGCCACTCGCAAGCTTTTAGGACCCCAGACACTACTCACCAAACTAAGATGTAGAACATTAACTTTATGAACTATATTATGCCAGCTGACTGAGTTGTCCCACAAGAGTATGGTCTTAAGCCTTCAAACTCAGAAAATCAATCCTGTGAGGTTCTGATTATGTCTAAGGAGTATCCGTAATGGTGCCACCTATGTGTTGTATTATATATCTGAATATATGTGCATGCACACACATACGTGTGTATACATATGCATACACCTATATACACACGCATGTATACCCGTCCCACATACACATGCCTATACACGTGTATGCCTACAGACATAGATGTGGACCTGCACGTATATTTTTTGGATGTTGTTGTTGTTGCAAAACTATATATGCCATAGCGATTACCAAAAGGTCCTTTCCTCCTGGGTACATCTTAGTGACATTGTCTACGGTGGTCAAGCTGTGCGCACTTCACCCTCACTTGGATGTTACCTTTCCCATCACCAAAAATAACAAGTGTCTACTGCCTAGAGAGTGAACCCCCCTTCCCCCCACCACCCATCCTTGGCAACCACTAATGAACATAAGTTTCTGTGTATTTACCTATTCATGCCCTTTCATAAAAGTAGGAACATACAATATTTGTTTTTTTGTGATTGACTTATTTTGCTCAACATGATGTCCCCCAGGTTCATCCACACTGTAAGGTGTTTCTGGAGCTCGTTTTTCTTTACTGTGAGCAGTGCTCCACTGTATGTGTGTATCGCGTTCTGTTTGTCCATTCACCCGTTGATGGGCACTTAGGTTGTTTCCATCTTTTTGCTATTGTGAATAGTGCTGCAGGGAACGTGGGTGTGCATATACGGGCTTCACCTTAAAACCTGCTTTTCAGATACATGAGAAAGCCTAGTGGGTATGTCACTCCTCCAGAATCAACAGTTGGAAGTGACAAGTTTTAATTAACAATGAAACGAGGCTCTATCAGAATTGGTGTTTATGGATGCCGGGAAGAGGCAAGGAGAAGAAGAATCTGTTCACAGTGGGGGGCTTGGGATAACGAACTTTCTTTGGGGTTTAAAGAGAACCTTCTGCAAGCTAAGCATTCTCACGGGTGGTAGGAATCTGAGTGCTCTTGATCACTCGACAACTATCTTTTGTCTACTTGTTTAAAGAAGTCTCACGTATACTTGGCAGGGTTGTCACAAAGCAGGCGCGTCCAGCCGCTGTCAGGAAGGACCCTGCCCCGCCGCAGGAGGCTTGAGTCGGGGACAGCGGAGAAAAGTGGGACATGTGTTAACATCAACAAGTTTTCCTCTTTCACAGCAGTGAAGCAGAAGTCTGGGCAGGCTGGCTCCGGTGGTTCAATGGGACTGTTGCCTTCAGCCTCTCTCAGGCTCTTAGCTGCCTTCCTATTGTTAGTCCGTTGAATGTCCACCGCCACCAGCTACCTTTGCGCTGACACCAAGTACAGCTGTGCGCCACGAGGTTTGCGGTGTCTGCTTTTTCTGAAGTAGATCACTAGGTCTTTCTTCCAGAATGCCTCTGGGCAGACTCGAGCCTCCAACCCTTCAGTTAGCAGCCGGGCACATTCACCATTTGCACGTTGAGGGCACTAAAAAAGAAACAAAGAAACAGTTGCCATCCAGTCAGTTCTGACTCATGGCGACCCCATGTGTGTCAGAATAGAACTGTACTGCATAGAGTTTTCAGAAGTAGGTTGCCAGGCTTTTCTTCCAAGGCACCTCTGTGTGGGCTCGGTCCTCCAGCCTTTCAGTTAGCAGCCAAGCATGCTAACTGTGTACACCCCAGGGACCCCCCCATTGAATACGTCACCTATTTTTAGAAGGCCAAATCATCTGATATAGGGACCCACACAGAGCAGAACACCTTCGCCAGTATTGTCCTGGGAGGCCCGGGTGTGTGGTCCAAGTACATGACTCAGAGCCACTGCCCACAGGACGTGTGCGCTCTCCCGAGCACTCACCGCATACCCCACTGCCCCCGAGAACCTGCAGAGTGGCCCCGGCACCTTGCAGGAGCGATCTGGGAGAAGGTGACTGCTTTGGCAGGAAACACCAGCTCCCTGAGCCGTCGTTAGAGACGTGGGCGGCTCTCCAGGTACTTCACTGAGCGCCATTCAGAGGGCTGGGCCGCTCTTGCTGCGCTAATCCTGACAACTTCCCCAAGTTTCAGGAAGCTGACAAACTCCACGGCCTGCTCGCGGGCAGAGGCCCCCCGTTCTTTGCCAGTTTTAGGTGCAAAGATGAGGAATTTTTCATTCCTGCTGTGTCCAGCAGTTGCTTAAGCCATGAGCAACATGTGAAAGTCCACACGCCAGTAGCTAACTTGAAAGGAGGGAGAGAGATTTAATTGTCAGAATCACCTGCCTTTGGTTCTCAGGCTAAAGGTTTCCCTAACTCAGCTCAGCTCTACTCCTGCGGGACATGGGGCAGGGGCTGCTTAACTAGACTAGTTTTAAAACCAATTTATGAATAATTCACACTTAAAGACAGGAAAATCGCCTCTGGGGCTCCGCTCCAGCTTCGCAGATTGCCCTCCAAAGCAATTAACATTCTCGTTTCTGCTGACTTTGCGGGAACGCATACCCCTGCTTGCTAACTGCTCTGCTGGGGTCTCACTTGACACTGGCTTTCTCATCGGGGCCCCTAGGTGGATGGGGCCGGGAGCACACCGGGGTCTGTCCCACGTGCATCCCAGGGCCCCCCCAACCTGTGCCCCCCACCTGTACCCCTTATCTGTGCCCCCCACCTGTACTCCCATCTGTACCCCCCACCTGTACCCCCCACCTGTGCCCCCTACCTGTACCCCTGACCTGTGCCCGCCCACCTGTACCCCCCCCATACCCCCGACCTGCATTCCAGGATCAGGTGCTACAGTCATGACACCCCGTCAGTCTCGTCTCCTGCCTGCTGCACAGCCATGGGTGAATCCACCCTGTCCCATCAGTTGGGCACCCCCCACCCCGCGGGCCTGAGGCCCCTGTCCCATCGGAGCTGGGTGCCTACTACCCTGAGGGCCTGAGGCTACTGGACCCTGACCATGCATGTCCTCAGTCCCCTCACACTCCACCCCCCACGCCCCTTCTCGGTTCCACCCCCCACGCCCCTTCTCGGTCCCACCCCCAGATGACGTCCATCTATCTCACTGAGTAGGTAGATGCGTCTGGAATCACGTTACCCTGCGTCTTGACCCACGTGCTGCCCTTCTCTGCAGTGTTGTGGGGAGCACCCAGGCCCGGCCCCGCCAGCCCCACCCGGTGCTCAGACCCAGCCCACCCCAGGACTCCTGTCCAGCAGCTGCCCTGGCTTCTCCTGTGTCCGTTCCTCCTCTTTACTCGGTCTTTCTCACCAGCTTAGAAGTAAGCCTTATTCTTCCATCTTATTGATCCCACTTCCCCTCCAATGACCCCTGCATTTCTCCCTTCCACTTAGCAGCCCAGTTTCTTCAAGGAAGTGTCTCTGCTCGAGTCTGCAAATGATACTCTTTCTCTGAGCCCACCCCAGCCACCCCCTTGCCCCCGTGACTGGCCTGAGGTGATTCTCAGCAGTCACCAATGTCGCCGCGTTGCCAAGTCCAATGTCAGCCCTCAGTCTTCCCCATCCACCTCCCGCACAGGACACTGGGGGTCACTCCCTCCCTCAAGACACCCCTCCCTCGGTCTCCAGCCTGCTTTCTCTCCCCTGGCCAGGCACCCCGCCCCCCCGCCCCCCGTGCTGATTACCTCTGAATGTTGGCGTGCCCAGGGCTCGGGCTCAGGCCCCTTCTCTCCCACCTAACTTGAAGTCTGTGTGCTGACTCCCAGATGTGTACCCCACCCAGACCGTCCTCCTCCCCTGCAGACTTGCCATCGCTGTTCCCTGACGTCTTCACCTGGTGTCTGACCGGCATTGGATGCACGCGTCCTAACCACGTTCCCGATGGTCCCCTCCCAAATGCGCTTTTCTCCCCATCTTCCCATCCTTGTTGTTGGCAACACCACCTTCCAGCCACTTTGGCCAAGAACCTCAGGGTTATCCCGGACTCCTCCTTTTTCTCTTACACCCAAACCAAGCCAGTTGCTGTCGAATCAGTTCCGATTCATGGCAACCCCAGGATTTTGTGACTGACCTTTCAGGAGCAGATTGCCAGGCCTTTCTTCTGAGGCACCTCTGGATGGGTTCAAACTTTCAACCTTTCTGTTAGTTCATAGCCAAGCACCTAACTGTCTGTACCACCAGGGACTCCTCCTCCCCTGTCTATTCAGGCCCTGTTGGCTGAACCTTCCTAAGCTATCTGGGGTCTGGCCTTGTGCCCCTCCCCTGCTGTGGCACGGCCCCTCGTGTTCCCCCGGATTGCTGAGGCTGGCTGTTCGTCAAGCTTTGTCAAGTGGATGATGGAGGCAGGGGGTGTGTCAGCAGCAAGGCCATCCCTGACTCACCCCTGCTTGTCCCACAGCATAGCCCCTTCTTTGCCGAGCAGCTGACCGCCTTCCAGGTGTGGCTGACGATGGGCGTGGAGAACAGGAACCCCCCCGAGCAGCTCCCCATCGTTCTGCAGGTGAGCGTCGCCCGTCAGGCCGGGTTGGCCGAGTGTGGCCCAGGGGAGGGGAGCCAAAGCCGGGCAGTTACCTGGGGATGCGTTTACCCGGGACCGTGCGCAGGTGTGCAAGATGTTGGCTCCCCACCACCGGTGGCTGTGCTCGGGCCTGGTGGTGCTGGGTGGACAAGCCACACGGATCCGGTCAGAGCCAACGAAGCCGACTGCCAGCTTATTCCTAAAGGGCTTTCCCGGGAAAGCCACTGAACTCCTCTCCCCTGCTCTCAAATAGAAGTGTGGGGTGCAGTCAGCTGCCCTCCTACGCCTCCCCATACACCGTAGGGAGGAACTGGCAAATGCTGTTGCAAATGAGCTTCATTGATTGCAGCACAGGCCCGTGGCATCATCACCTCCTTCCTCGTGGAAGGAGGTGACATGGAACTCAATCCCGGGAGAGAAGGATGAGGACACTGAGCACGCCGTGACGGGGGCCGTGGGCATCCCAGCCAGCGTGTTGGACCCCCGTGAACACGCCGTGATGGGGGCCGTGGGCGTCCCAGCCAGCGTGTTGGACCCCCGTGAACACGCTGCTCTAAGAAAACCCGGGTGTGTGTGCAGGTGCTGTAGTCACGCGACTGTGGACCGAGGCCTAACCGTTAGTGGGCTGGAGGTGGGTTTGTGGGTTCATCACAGGGAGCGAGATTGGAATGATTTCCTAAAGTTTTGCTTCAGTTAGTGTATATTTGTGTGGGAGGTATGTGTGCTGGGCCGTGACGTGACATCAGTGTAGACATCAAGGTCTTGTAACACACTTGAGCACCTGGGAAACATTTTTGGTAATGGAGTGGGGGTGGCTGAACTTAGGTCAGAGCTGTGAACACTTGGGGGGTTGGTGCCTGCAGAAGGAGGGGGTGGGAAACTCGTCCTGCATCCCCCGTGTCTAAGTCTACACCAGTTATGGAGTGGAGAGGGTCCACCTCCAGGTCTGGAGCTGAAATCTTGAGAGGTGGTGGGTGGTGGCTTGGCCTCTGAGCTGGAACGTGTATCTCTCCTCTGCCATCTGCGGACGTCAGCTCCACTTCCTTCCAGGGAGGGGCTCTGCTTTCCCACTAAGGCTGCCAACCTCATGGGGGGCAGCACCCACCATCTCCATGAGACCAGAACTCCCCTCTCAGCAGCCGCCCCTTCCAGGAGGCACTGACCACCTGGCTGCACGTCTCTGATGCGCCCTGGAGCTGGGCTGGTCCTCTCTGAGGGGATCTTGCCCTCGGCTGCCCGGGCAGGTGCATCTGCAGCTCTGGAGACCGCACCCGGCTGAGCCGAGGCCTCCCCGGGCCAGGCCTCGGCCCCCACGGCCTCAGACGGCAGGATGAGGAGCTGAGATCGGGGGAAGGCCCAAGCGGGTCACAGAGCTGTAGCCCCGCCCTGTCCTTGCCGGCAGTAACACTTAGCTGGGCAGCAGGGAGCGACGTTGTGCACGACACCGCAGTATTTCTGTGCCTCGTCAGAGCTCCTTTGCTGACATCGTGAAAAGGTGCAAGCTACTCTTCGATGTTGCGATTCAGATTTAAACCAAACCATCACTACTGTTTCTCTCTTGTGCTTCTGGTTTCCTTTAAAACGATCCTGAGATTGCAAGATGAGCTGTAAACGAACAGATTCATAAAACTAAACAAAACCATCAAAAACAGGCAGCAATACAACAAACAACGAGAGAAAGCAGAACATTTGGCGGAGCAGCACTCTGCATGGATGCGGGAAGGTGGCCAGGTGTGAAGAGAAGCCAGGCGGCGGCGGGATTTCGGGGCCTGGGGGCACAGGTGAGGTGCGCTGTGCCCCACGGCTCCTCCTGAGTCACTGGGCCCCCCGATGCTCATCAGCAGAGCTGCGGCCCTTGTCCAAAAGCCCCTGACCCTCCCGTCGCCAAGTGACACTGGCCCCTCTGTGGTGGGGCAGGCCGCCAGCGTGTGAATCCATGTCTCCACGGCCTGGCAAATGGTCCCCTTGTAAATGGCCTTCTATTGACATATTTTTAATGTTCCATTTACAACCACATTCCCTCAGGAAAGAGGAGCTCTAGTGGAGCCGAGTTTCTGATGCCAAAATGAGAGGACATAACTCTGGAGGGAGAGAAGGAAGACGTTTCTGTGTGACCCTCTAAAGCCCGGGAGGGCAGCATCTTCCTCTCCTTGGTGGGGCTGCCGCAGGCCGCACCCAGCCTGGGTCCATGGTGAGCCCTCACTGCACAGGAAGATAAGGCACACGTGTGCAGAGGGGCTCCTGGCCCACGCGGTGCAGCCTCAGTGCCGCCTGCTTCCTTGTTAACTCAGCCGACTGCACCGTGCTCCGTCTCAGAAGCTTTATTGTTGCTGTGGCCTCGGCCTTGGTGTCCATAAATTGTTCTTCAGTGCTTTGGCAAGTCAGGAAATGTTACTTAAGGGAAAGAGAATTTCAACGCAGAGACCTTGTAGCTCTTGAAATCCCTGCTACTTTTGCCAAATGCTGGAGAGAATTCTCTCCACCCACAGGCAACAGCATTAGCTGACGACCATGGAGGGCCAAACGAATCAGCCCATTGGGCCCAGTCAGTTTGCAGTCCCGCATATAAATGTAACATGGAAATAAGCTTTCCTTGTCAGCCTGGGTGCCCTTTTTTGTCTTGTAAAAATATAAATCCACAGAGGGAACAGGAAAGAAGGTGTAATGTTAAAAGACTTCTTGTCAGTGGTGTCTGCTGGACGCTGGCACCTCCCGAGGCACTTGCAGATCTCCCAGCAAAGCCCTGCTGTCTCTGGTGGCACCCTAGCACCTGCGCCAGCACAGAGCACGCACGCAGTGAATACTTGTTCAGTGGAAACGTCGTAGATGGAAATGCTTTTGGTTGGAAGGATGCAACACATATGACCCCAGTGTAAAAGACATAAAGGAGAAGGTCAATACAGGTGACACCACTAAACTTAAAACTCTGAAATAACAGAAGAAAAAAGAAAAGAAAAATATGCAACTTATGTGATGTCTTAGTCATCTAGTGCTGCTATAACAGAAATGCCACAGATGGATGGCTTTACAAAGTTTATTCTCTCACAGCCTGGTAGGCTAGAAATCCAAATTCAGGGTGCTGGCTCCAGGGGAAGGCTTTCTGTCTGTTTCAGCTCTGAAGGAAGGTCCTTGTAGTCAGTCTTCCCTTGGTCTGGGAGCATTTCAGCGCAGGAACCTCAGGTTTAAAGACATGCTTTGCTCCCGTGCTGCTTTCTTGGTGGTATGAGGTCCCCAACTCTCCACTTGCTTCCCATTCCTTTTATCTCTTGTAAGATAAAAGATGGTGCAGGCCACATCCCACGGAAACTCCCTTTACATTGGATGAGGCATGTGACCTGCGTAAGGGTGTTACATCCAACCCTAATCCTCTTTAACATAAAATTATAATCACAAAATGGAGGACAACCACACAATACCAGGAATCATGGCCCAGCCAAATTGATACTCACATTTTTGGGGGAACATAATTCAATCCATGACATATGGTAAAGGCTGATCTCTTTAATATATAAAGAGCCCTTTCATACCAATAAGAACATGTCAGACACTTAATAATAGAAAAATGGTCTGAGCACACATACGGCTGATTTACTAGCAAAATTGCTAGTTAACCGATGAAAAAAAGTCCAACTGCACTTGTAGTCAAAGAAACCAGGATTTGAAGCAAATTTTTCTTCCACCTGTCAGATGGGTCAGGGTTCTATCCTTTCACCTACTTATTCAGTCTGTATGCTGAGCAAATAATCCGAGAAGCTGGACTGTATGAAGAAGAACAAGGCATCGGGATTGGAGGAAGACTCATTAACAACCTGTGATATGCAGATGACACAGCCTTGCTTGCTGAAAATGAAGAGGACTTGAAGCACTTACTGATGAAAATCAAAGACCACAGCCTTCAGTATGGATTACATCTCAACATAAAGAAAACAAAAATCCTCACAACTGGACCAATAAGCAACATCATGATAAACGGAGAAAAAATTGAAGTTGTTAAGGATTTCATTTTACTTGGATCCACAGTCTACATCCATGGAAGCGGCAGTCAAGAAGTCAAATGATGCATTGCATTAGGCAATTCTGCTGCCAAAGACCTCTTTCAAGTGTTAAAAAGCAAAGATGTCACTGTAAGGACTAGGGTGCCCCTGACCCAAGCCAGGGGTGTTTTCAGTCGCATCATATGCATTTGAATGCTGGACAGTGAATAAGGAAGACTGAAGAAAAATCGACGCCTTTGAATTATGGTGTTGGCGAAGAATATTCAATATACCATGGACTGCCAGAAGAATGAACAAATGTGTCTTGGAAGAAGTACAACCAGAATGCTCCTTAGAAGCAAGGATGGCAAGACTTTGTCTCACATACTTTGGACATGTTATCAGGAGGGACCAGTCCCTGGAGAAGGACCTCATGCTCGGTAAAGCAGAGGGTCAGTGAAAAAGAGGAAGACCCTCAGTGAGATGGATGGACACAGTGGCTGCGGCAGTGGGCTCATGCATAACCGTTATTGTGAGGATGGCGCAGGACCGGGCGGTGTTTCGTTCTGTTGTACATGAGGTGGCTGTGAGTCGGAACTGACTCAGTGGCACCTAACAACAACAACATCAGATGGACAGATACTCATAATGGTTTAATAAGGGCTAGCCTTACCTCAGGAGCCTTCAGTTGGTGTTTAATAAAGCACTTGTGGATCAGCACCTTGTCGTCTTTGTTTATAAATGAAGACATTAAACCCAAAGATGTTACATCATTTACCCGAGGTCCCCTAACCAGCGAGCCGCATGCAGGCTGCAAATCCCCATCGGTGGCGCGGGCGAGCAGTGCCCACGCGTTCGCTGAGCATGAGCATTGGTTCAGCTGGAGGGTCGTTTGGTGATGTAAGTATACGTGCTCTGACCCTGTGGTTTTGCTTCCAAGGTTTGTCCTACGGAAATCATCATGCATATGCGTGAAGATGTGCACACTGGGGTCTTTATCACAGCATTGTTCATAATGGCCAAATCGGATAATAATCTCAGTCTCTAGCAGTGGGGAGGGTGTCTAGACAAATGAGTGAAGGTCTGGGCTGCCGTGGGGGGGTGTGGCCAGGGCACACGCGGTGATGTGGCGTGATGGGTGGTCTCAGCGTGCTGTTTAGGCAAAGGAGATGAGAAATACAGTAACGTTTCAGTTTAGAATAAACATAAAGTATCTGGAAGTTTATATACAAAATGTCATCCGTGAGTTTCTTTTAATGCGGACGATAAGTGCATGTTCTGACGCTTTGCCCAGTGAGCGGGTTTACCTGGACCGTAAAGAGGTGAGTTTTCCTAGCCCGTTTAAAAGCGTGATGTGTGGAAAGGAGCATCTGCTCTAGCTCGAAATGAATCAGTCTGGTGTGCTCAGGGCAGCCTTCGGAGAGGAGTCCACTCTGCGTGGTGTGACAGTGATGCGGTTTCCTTTATTCTCTTTTTAGGTGCTGTTAAGCCAAGTGCATCGTCTGAGAGCCCTGGACTTGCTGGGAAGATTTTTGGACTTGGGTCCCTGGGCGGTGAGCCTGGTGTGTGCTTTTCTGCATCAGTCTGGGGAGGGGAGAGGCTGGGGACAGGGGTGGGGTTAGACCCAGTCCCTGTGGTGAGTGTTGCTCTCAGGAAGGAACGACCGTCTGTGGGCATAGTTCATGATCCAGAAGTGACCACGGCCTGTGGTCTGGGGAGCCTGCACTCGGGGACAGTCCGTGAGTGCATGAAAGCCTTGCAGGAGACCCTCAGTGCGCCCGTGCAACCTTCATTGTGGGCTTCTTGGTTTTGTTTCTTTTTTGCCCCCCACTGCCAGGAGCCGGGCGGCCGTGAGCCCGGCGCGTCCCCGCCACACGTGGGTACTTTTGCTCCCAGAAGCCTCTCAGTCCTTACTCATTGTTTTCTTACTCTTGTTTTAGGTACAGTTCCAAAACAGTCCAGTTACTTGTTGTCTACAAAAGTAGCAATGTCCACTTAAGACAGAAATAGAATCAAGGAATGATCGTTTTTTACAACAAATAAATTGGGGGGGAAACAAAAGAGAGACGGGGGGGTCGTGCAGATCAGAGGAGGAGCGAGCAGCATCTCAGCCAAGTCACGACATGCGGACCTTCTGTGGGTCTGTGTGCAAATAATCATGAAGACTTTACAGGTTTCTAAGATGACACTCCCGAGACAGATGGAGATCTGACACCAACTGGGTATTTGCCGTTATTAGCGGTCAGTGGTTTGTTTAGGTGGCGTGAGGGACTGTGGTTGTGTTTTTATAAAAGAAACCTTATTTTTTAGAGACACGCAACTAAATGTTTACAAATGGAATTGTGTGACGTGAGATTTGCTTCAGAGTGTTGCAGGGAAGGGCAAGCAGGTGGGGCCAAGAGAAAACAACGTGGGGCGTGAGTGGGTGTCGGGAGGCAGGGAGTGAGTACACAGGAGTTCCCTGTCCCGTTCGCTCTATGCTTTTGTGTACTGACATTTTCTGTAATATACTGTCAACCAATGTTGAAGGACGAGAGAGAACATCTGACACACAGGAAGAGCAATGCCTCAGTCCCCATCCGGGGCCATTTCTCTCTTAAGTCCCTGAGACCAGCCTATGAATTCCAGCTCCGTTGGGGGGTGGGGGGGGCATGCACGATGCTATTGCTTAATGATCGTGGAGATGCTTAGAGTGTGGTGATTATACTCTTTAAGAAGACAAGAAAACACACATTAACATATTTTAGGAAGATATGTATTTGGTCAATTTTTTAAAAACAAATTGGGCCTTTAAAGAGTTAGTTTGATGCTAATCGGAAATGTTACCGGTATATAAACAGATTCCAGATAAACAAGGCGTTGCCGCAGGCCCAGCTTTGGCTGCGGGGAGAGGGCTCGAAGGCTGAACCAGAGAAATGAGCATCTGCCCCGTTAAACGTGGCCGTATCACAGGGAGGGACCAGACCCGGCACTGGGCGTCCTGAGTCCTGCACCTCCCCAGCCCCCATTGCAGGAGACCCCAGTTGTTGGAGGAGATGCCATTGGGATAGCTTTAGAATTCCAGAGAATCTGAGATAACGATATAACGAAAGGATTGAAAGCAGCTAGGCTGCCCCGTGGTTCTGCGCTTGGGAGGCCACCCTGCTCTTGTTACCCTGCACTGAGAGCAGAGAGGCCCCCCAAGAATGAGGTCCCCACTGCTGCACCAACGGGGAGCACCAGGGATTCCACCTGTGCGCCGGCCTCCAAGTCGGCTTGTCTCCTGATGGAGCAGACAAAGCCTCACGAGTGGTGGAGACCTGGCTCCAGGCTTCCAGCCTCAGCCCAGGGCCACGTGTGGCCGTGCCAGTGGGGCCAGGTGAGGCCCTCAAGGTGGGCGCTGGCGTGAATGAGGAGGCGCTGCCATGGGAGTCATCCTGGTCTGTTTGGACCTGTCAGGTCTGGAAACGCCCAGACCTCTAGGAGTCAAGTCAGAGATGAACAGATCTGGAGGCGGCCCCTCGGGCTTTCATGAGGCCTGCTCTCGCCCCGTCTCCCACGTGGGTGGAGGCCATGGTGGCCCCTCGATCCTCTCTGCAGTGTGGGGCCTCGGGAGGGAACCTTCTCACGCTCTTTTCTCCCTCAGGCTTTGTCTGTCGGCATCTTTCCTTACGTACTGAAGCTGCTTCAGAGCTCAGCCCGGGAGCTGCGGCCTCTCCTGGTGTTCATATGGGCCAAGATCCTCGCCGTGGACAGCGTGAGTAATCTCGGCCTGTCCTCCCCACGTCTGCGATGCTCTCTCTGTCCTGACCCGCCAGCCTCTCGCCCAGCTCCTTCTCTCGTCCTGGGCTGCCCAACCCAGGGATGGCAGCTGCGGGCCAGGGCCACCCGGGGGTGGACACGTTTGAGCTGACCTTGCTCACAGAGCTCCCTCTGCCTCACGTCTCCCTCCCTGCCCTCCCCTGGGGTTAATGCCCACTTTTCTGTCCCAGCCTGCCTCCCGTCCCCTCACCGCACTGCAGTCCATCCCTCACCGCACTGCAGGCCTGTCCCTCACCACACTGCAGGCCCGTCCCTCACCGCACTGCTGGCCCGTCCCTCACCGCACTGCAGGCCCGTCCCTCACCGCACTGCAGGCCCGTCCCTCACCGCACTGCAGGCCCGTCCCTCACCGCATAGCTGGCCTGTCCCTCGCTGGCCCGTGCTCTCTTCCAGAGTAAAGCAGAGGCGTCTCCTTGGCTGCCGCCCTGTGAATGACTTCCCCGTCCTCACATTCCCTTCTCCACCCGCTCACCCAGGCTCACCTATACCAGGTGTGTCCTGACCGCGGCCACCCGGGCTGCCCCCGGCCCTCACACCTTGTCTCCCACCCTGAGGCCCCTGTGTGTCACTCACTGCCCGCTTCCTCCGGAAGCATGGCCCTGCCTGGCCTGACCCCACGTCCGCTCCGTCTGTCTCCAGCTGATGCTTCTCTCCTCCCCAACCCTGGCTGCCGCTGCAAAGTCAGGCGCTGTCTGCCAGGCCAGACCCCGGGCATTAGCGGTCCCTTCCCCACGCGGGATTGCCAAGCCCGCGTCTCCGGCTCTGCCCTCCCAAATGAGCACCAGCCCACAGCTCCTCATGCCACGGCCTCTGCGGCCCCTGGTTCACACTGGAAAGGTCGAGGCGGGTGCCTCCTCGTTCGAACCTCTGTGCCGACGGTGATTGCTGCACAGCCTGGTGATGGTGACCCACGTCGCCACGTTGTACATGTGAAAGTGGTTCAGCGGGGAAATGTTTTGTTGGGTATACTTCACAACGATAATGAATTAAACTCTGTGCTGTGGCTGGAGGTGGCACAGAGGTCAGCTGTCCCTGCCCTGCCCTCAGGAGCTTGCAGTCCAGGGGGATGTGGACACAGACGACACGGCCCCCAGTGTGAGGCAGTGCGTCACAGCCCACGGGAGGTGCACACCCCGAATGTGACATTTCGCAGACGGGGACGTGCGAGTCCTCGTGGGGGGCTGCACCCTGCCGAGGGTGTCGGTGTCAGGCGGGCGGGGGCAGGTAGCTGGAGCAGGAGCTAGCAGGGGGCAAACACACAGGACGATCATGAAAGGCCAGTCGCGCCGTGCTGGAGAGAGAGGAGGTCGCGATGAAGCGGAGGGTATGATTCCAGATTGAGGGGGTTGAGCTTATCAGTAGGCAGTGGGAAATTGTTGAAGATTTTGGAGCAAAGAAATAATAACTAAGCTGTAGTGTGTAACAGCTATCTGGCCTCAGTATGAAGAAGATTGTGGGAGGACGCAGACCACTGAGGAGGCTGCACCCATAACTCACACACGGAGGAGGTGAGGGCGCATGGGGCGTGCTGAAAGGGTGGGGAGCCTCTGTGCTGGGAGAAGCAGTGTGTTGCTAACAGAAGGGTGTGGGTGGAGCTGCTTCGGGAAACGTAAAGTGCAGTTTGGCCTCTTGAGTCTGGAGCGCTGATAGGACCCTCAGGGTGTTCAGGACATGACGGGTCATGAGGCCTGGAGCTCAGGAGAGGGCTGGCCTGGAGGGCCACTGTGGGGCCTCGTCCACCTCACAGTGAAGTGGGTGAGATCCTTGAGGGCTGGGAGGCGGAGAAAGGAAGAGAGGTGCCAGAGGAAACTGGAACGCGAGGACAGAGCTCGGGAGGGCCTCGTCGGCAAGATGCAGAGCCGGGGTCACAGGACGGGGTGTGTGGGGACGGAGAGCGTCGCGCCCTCCGCAGGGCTGTTGTGGAGGAGCGATGCAGTCAGCGTTGGGGAGAGCACTGTGCGTAGCCCAGAGGTGGAGTCAGGACCAGAGGGGCAGGGACGTGGGCGAGAAGTGGGCCCAGTGCAGTGGACTGCCTGCTGGAGGGGTGGGGTCAGTGAGGAGAGAGTAAAGGCTTGGTTGGGCTTTTTGGCTTGTTTTTTTTAAGCCAGCAGTAGACCTGCACGTCTACAGGACAGAGGAACGAGTAGAGAAACATCCATGTTTTCAGAGCCTCTGAGGCTGAGGTGGGGCCCTTACCAGACTACAGGAAAGGACAGGACGTAGCAAAGTTGAAGAGAAAGTTAGGGGTGAAGGTGGCGGTCAAGGGTAGCGTGGTGAACTGAGCCCCTTTATGTGGTCTTTTACTTTGGCTGTTTGGAAGACCAGCCTGGGAGGTTTTTCTGCAAAGCCCTAAGGGGCTGCCTTTGTCTCAGTTCTATGGTGAAGCAGCTTGGGGGGCAGGGCTCCCAGGTTGTTTTCTACCCCAGAGTGTTTGGTACTTTTGTCCATGGGATTCCCCAGGTTGATTGACATTTCCTGGGTAAGCTGTCAACAACTTGATGGTTTGATACTTTTTGTCTGACCCTGGGCTGCAGCCTGCCCTGTGATTGGTCTATTTTACACATCTAGCGGGGATTGGTCAATTTGTTACGTAAATAGGGGTGCATAAAACCACCCAATAAGACTGAGTAACTTGCAGGGATTGGTCAGTTTGTGGTCCTGCTGGGAGGACTGTGCCTTGAAATTGACAAGGAGTTTGCTTATATAAGCAGCCAACCCCACAGAGGTTTTAGAGAGGCAAGGAGAGCACAGAAGCAGAAGCTGAGAGAGAGGAGGCAAGGAACCTCCTGGAAGAGCTGTAACACAGGTCAAGGGCTGTAACACTGAAGACAGTGAGAGGTGTGGAAGGGATCCTGCAGCAGCGTCAGCGTGATGGCAGAAAGCTGCGGCTGGGAAGGCATCTCAGAGGGCTGAACCAGCTGCCACACTGGCTGTGGGCTGGGCCGCTCGGCAGTGAGGGGGCCAAAGGCAGAGAGGTCTGCGAGGCCAAGGGGGCGTGCAGCACGGCTGAGGGAAGGGCCTGCTTGCTTACACGGCCAAGGGGGAAGCTGAGAGAGCCTGCCTGCACTGAAGAAGGGAAGGATGTGCCCTCTGCTCGGGGGAACCTTCCAGACCTTGACTGTGTGCTTCCTGATCCTGATCCCGGATTGTAGCTTGTTACTTCCTTAATAAAATAGTCTGTGAGTTCTCTGAGATATTGCAGCGAACTGCTGAACGCAGCAGGGGAGGGTAGAGTGCTGAGGGGGAATGTGTGGTGTCAGAGATCAAGCAGTGCGGCAGCTTGGAGAAGGTGGAAATCTGGCATGGGTTTGACCTCTGTCTCATAGGAACCTGCTTTGTGCTGATTCTTACTTATGATGGTATTTGTTTAGGCTGCTGATGGTCAGCCTTGGACAAGTAGAGGTCATTTATTCTTCTGTGAGGTGACTGAAAGCAGAGTAAAAGGATCTTAAACCAAATGTGTCTCCTGTCTGTTCTGCCCCACGCCGCTGGGACTGGCTTACTCTGCGTGGCCCTTCCTTCTAGTCGTCTCTGGCTAAACCCTGGCCTCGGCCCTCATTCCTCCTCTGGCATGTCCAGGCAGTCCCCGAGAGCTGGTCTGCATTAGCTGAAGTAGCTCTCCAGTCTGTTCTGTTGCTTTGGACTTTGCTCAACAAGTATTCATCCAGCTCCTGTTTCCCAGGCACTGCTGGTCCTGAGATTACACAGATAAATCAGTCCTTGTCTGTCCTCACCCCTGCATGCTTTCATCACTCAGGCCTGTGCCTGGCTGCCCAGAAACATCCCTCTCCGTCCATCTCAGTAACTAGCCCTACCCACGCACGCTAGCCCCAGGGCCCCACACCGCCACCCTGCTCCCACCGAGCCACTGTGTACCTGCCATCCCTGCCACCCCCACCCCGGCCAGAGCCCACTGCAGAAGGACAGGGTGTCACAGAGCTGGTTTTCTAGAGGAAAGCATCACAGTATGGTCGTATCTGTCACGAATGCTGCTTTAATTATGGTTTTTGTCTGATGATTATTGTTGAGTACAGGATCCTTATTAATTTTTGTTTCTCGTACAGTAACCTAGTTGAATTCTTATTAGTTCTAATAGTTTGCCTGTAGCCTGTCTTGGAAAATCTCTACGTAGAGTCACGTTGTCCACCAACAGTCTGTCACCTCTCTCCCAGCTCTTGTCTCTCACTCGTTTTCTCCACCGGCCGCTCTGGCCGGGACTGTGACTGCGCGTTGAGTAGCAGCAGTGGCTGGAGGGCTTGGCGTGTGTCCGACCTCAGTGATCTTCCTCTGCCGCAGCGCCCCCCTGCCCCCACCTCTGAGGCTGACCTTGGCCTCCTTGGGCCCCGGGCTCTGCACTTGGCTGTTCGTCGGCGTTTCTGCTGTGTCCCCTTCGTTCCATGCTGATGACGGACTCGTTTTGCACGGGACCTGCTTCACCAGGATAGGCTATACATCTACAAATTATTCACCCCTCTACCAGTAAACTAACCTCTGACAGACAGCGTCGTCTTCAGAAGATCAGCACAAACACTGGATTTAGGAGTTTGAGAGTGGCACTGGGGTCCTGTCACCCTCATTTACTCCAGCCAGCCATTTTTAGTTCCCGCAGCCATTGCTGCTTCTCCGTAAAGTTACGGCAATAATGCTCAGGGCATCTGCTTCCAGCAGCATAGTCACGAGGACCAAAACCACCAGATGCAGAGCTGCTCTGTAAATTACAGGGTAAACTGTCGTTAAGGAATCAACAGTATGAATCGCGTGTCTGTCCAGCTTGTCTGTTACACTCAAACTGTCGCTTACTGAACTGAAACTTTAGGAGAGGCCAGGACGCTGTGTCTGCGGGTTATTTCTATTTCACCTTCTTTCGGGTTTCTCTGAAGAGTCAAGTTCTGTCAATAAAATCACTTCCTCGGAAGCCAGCTGTGACTCTCTGTT